GTGCTGATTATTAATTATGGGCTGGATGACCTATGCTGAAAATCTAGTCCTGAAGTCTCTTACTGTTACTCTATGCTTTCTCTCTTCAAATCTTTTAATATTTGTTTTTATATTGAAGAGACCCAGAATTCAGTGCTCATATAAAAATTATTCTGTTTTGTTGATGAAATATTCATTTATCCTGTTGTAATACTAATGTATCTCATCCAGTGGTGGCCACCTCAGCTATTTTGTGACCTGTATTTACATGTTCCTTAACTTTCAATTTTGATCTATGTGTGTCCTTTGAAATAAAACGAGTCTTGTCAGTAGCATATTTTTGAGTCCATTCAGCCTCTCTATATGTTTTAAATGCAAAATTTACTCCATTTTCTTCCAAGGAAATTGTTAATGGGGAAGAACATAGTACTGCCATTATGCTAATTTTTCTGGCTCTATTATAGACCCTACATTCGTTGCTTTCTCCTCTTTCCATCTTCCCACATGATTATGTAATTATTTCTTGATGCATTCTTTGATATCTTACTTTTACTACTTCCTGTGTCTCCTTTTTCCCCCCATAGCTATCACAGGGCTTATCAGACATTTTATAGTTATACGAGGATGGTTTAAGTTGAAAACAATTTTGCTTTGATTGTGGACAAAGACAATTTATATTTCCTCCCAGCTTTTTCTCATTTTGATGATGTGATGTTTACATTTCTGTGTTGTATATCCTTTTGATAATTGTAGCTCTTCTATTTAAGAATATTATATTCTTCATATTATGAATGTGATTACTTATCATTATTAAATATGAGATGATTCTCTATGACAATGTACTTATTTTCCCAGTAAATTTCATATGCCATGATTTATACTAACAACTAGCTCCTTTTATTTCTATTAGATCCATTTAATATCTTTTTAAATATTCTCATATCATTACATCATTTTCCCCTTTCCTTTTCTTGCTCCTAAACCCTCCCTTGCTCTCTATCAAACTCATGGCCTCTTTTTTCACTAATTGCTGTTACATTTGTGTGAATGTGTGTGTCTGTGTGTGCATGCATGTATATGTTTATGTATATGTATATATACACATATTATGTATACAACATATACAAATATATTCCTGAATATAACCTGCTCAGTTTGTTTAATGTTGCTTTCATGTTTTCTGGTCTGACCATTTGGTATTGCCATACCATAAGGCCTTAACCCTGCACAAAGAACAACCGACATGCTGAGAGTGGGGGAAACAGGGTTCCCCAGGAAAACCCCAGTAGTTGGTTAGCATTTCAAGATGGCACAGTGGTAATGAACACCTTCTGCTTCTGACTCTATTCATCTTGCCTTTATGTCATAAGGGCAATTTTCTTGGACAAAATATTTCCAGGTAGGTATTAGTGAACTCACTTTCTCATAACTTAGCTGCAGGCTTCCTGCTTCCCTCCTCTGTAAGGTGTCACCTGAGAAACCTGCTGCTAGTGGCCTCGAACTTCCGTGTGTGCTAGGTTATGCTCTAGTATCTCGGACTCCTATGTGTGCAAGGTTATGCTCTCTTGTGAGTTTAAAGATTCTCTGACAGTGTGGTTAAAACAGATTGTTGAAGTTTTAATTTGAAAATTTTAATACTTTAATTGAAATTGAAATGCAACACTTTCTTCCTCACTGTCCTCCCTTCTGGTACTTTTAGCTATTCTCCCTCAAAACCCTCCAATGTCACCCCACTCTTAATTTGATTGCCTCTTTTCAAAATTTTAATTGCCTCGCAGAACCACACACACACACACACACACACACACACACACACCATCCCTACCACATCACATGTATGTCTGTGTGTGCACAAATATGTGTGAATAGTTTGGTTGAGTCTGTAACTGTTGTTTGTTTTATGTATGAAAATGATCTCAGGACTGTTGAAGTCTTAGTAGGATAGAAACTGATTTTAAAGACATTTGACCTTCTGATACCAAAATATTTATACATACATACTTGCTTACATATATTTAGATTTCTAAACGTTTTAAAAGTTTTCTGTTATGATTTTCAAGTAATAGTTTAAACGTTTGCTTTTTTGATATTGTTCCATGATTTTTTTTTTAACTTCTAATTGCGTTTTTCACTAATTTTCCTGTGAGTTCAGAGATTTTTTTTTCTTAATGACTTAGAACTGGCTATCATAATCTTATATTTGACATTTGAATGACAAGATTTTTCAGTTATAGATTTTTCATTTAAAATTCATTATCTCTGTGAAGTTTCTTGCTTTTATTGATTAATATTTTTCCAACTTTATTAAAAATTTTCCCTGTATTTTCTTAATGGTCGTTAAATTTTCTTAAAACATTTTTTAAATTTTACATTCCATTTCATTTATATCCAATACTAAAAGTGTTGTTCTTTCGAGTGTATGATATCGCCTTGGGTCTGTTCCTTGGCTTGTATTGATGTTTGTACTTTTGGTGAAACAGACACACCCTTTGACTTTCACTAGTCCACTGTACTGTAAAGCAGCCTTTCCAGATGTTGGCACTACAAGAGGATATAATGAATATGGTACCTTAATTCTGGCACAAACAAGCCTGCATCTGTTCATTGTATCAAAGCCAGTGGTGGTGGAGATTGCAAGAACCGTCAGTGTCAAGGCTATGGATCTCTACAGTAACGCTGGGTGCTGCTTTGTTTCCTTTTTTCTTCAGTGGTTTGTGGGCAACGTATGTACTTTTAATGCAGTAATAACATTTGGCTTTATTCTACTCTTCCAGTTTGGTGATCAATCTCTTACTTTAAAAATTATTTATATTTTGTTTTATGTGTAGAAGTATTCCCATACATGCTTTTATGTGTATCATGTGTGTGCCTAATGCCCACAGAGGCCAGAAAAAGCTATCATGTCCTTGGAACTTTAGTTTAGAGATGATTGCAAGCCACCATGTCAGTGTTAGAAACAGAACCCAGGTCCTCTGTCTGAGTAACAGTTACTCAACCACTGAACCATTTCTCCATCCCTCAAAATTCTAATTCTAAAATACAAGCATTTGGTTATAATTATATAAATGATAGGAACACTATTATTAAAATCTGAAATTTGATTACTCTTGTACTATATTGGGAAGTCTGGCAATAAATGGAGTTGAAATTCATGGTAATCTCTTTTAACTTTATTTTACAAGAAAGAGAGGGCAGAAGAGGAGGAGGAAGACTAAGAAGAAGAGAAAGAAGAGAAGGAGGAGGAGGACGACAACCATGTGATCTTATTGGAGAATCTGCAGTTTCTGACTTGTGGACTATAGGAGGTTAAGGGTTTATCTACAAACAGTGTCTCAGCATTTCCCACTCCCCAAGTAGTCTCCTAATCTTATGAAACCCGAAACACATGAGATAATACCTTACTTAAAAAAATCTTAAATGCTTAATAATAGAGAAGAATAAATACACATTAAAGTCTGGATAATTGAATAATAAAGTATGTGCTAGGATTATGTAAAAGAAATTTAAATAAGGAAGTATTGATTTTCAAACACATGTGTATACTTGTGAAGAGTTCTGGGGAGAAATGGAAATTCATTGGCCAGGATTCCATCAGTTTTATTTATATTTAAAGAGGTATATGCTATAGAGATTTGCATTGGTGTGGATCTTGGTTTATTGATACAAATTTAAGATCAATTTTAATATATATATATATATATATATATATATATTTCTACTCTTGATTAAAATATTGTGTTTGTGCAGATCATTTAAAATTATGTAATGTAGAATTAAGAAATGTAGGTTAACAGATAGTCTTCTATAATAGTCAAGCTTGTAGTCATGTTAGTTAGGTTTTTTAGATGTACAGAGATATAGTTCAGATGGATAGTTATTCTTCAAACCTCTCAAAGACTAACAGAATATGGCATGGAAAATGTTTTAAGAACTTCGACTTTTCATGATAGTGAGACACATCTGCTCCTGGCAGCACTAATCTACTTCAAGAGGATCGAAGAGCCTTGTGGAGTTTGTTAGCCATCTGGGCAAGAGATTGCTCTTGCCTGAACTACTTGACTTGACTTGCAAAACCCACAGAAAAATGACTGCTAAAGGTGCCAAAAGAAGGTAAGACAGTCTGACAGGGTTCCTGTTTCATGAAAGAGTCTGTCAGACATTCTGCATTATAGGACACAGAAGAAAGTGACTGACAAGCTGCCAATATAGATGGAATTGTCTTTGAAACTTCCTGCTTCATAGAAAAGTCTGCCAGATACAATGGACCTGGAGGCTAAGATAGGTGTCCCAGTATTGCAGAGAAACTTTAGGTGACTGTCCGGGCAGTGAGATGTCTCTGTCAATTCTAGACTTTTGGAAGTTGCTTACGATATATTTCCTGTTAACTTGGGTGATATTATATCCTGGAGTCTTTGATGCAGTTGAAGAATAATATAATTATAATAGTTATAATTATAGTTTTCCTTAGTTATGATAAAAGATAAAGTAGATATAAATATTGTAACTGTAATTCTTGCTTATACATATTTTGTTATATTCATTTTTGCTATGTTAAAGATAAAACCTTCCCTTTTTTTTTAAACAGGAAAGTGGAAATGGTGTAGGAAGTCCTTCTGTCTATATGTTGCTTTTATTGGTTAATGAATAAAGCTGTTTCAGCCAGTGGCTTAGCAGAATAGGGCAAGGTGGTAGTTCCAAGCAGATAGAGAAAGACAGAATAGGCAGAGTGGGTGAGAAGCCATGTAGCTGCCTGTAGGAGACAGACACCTCTGCTGGAGCCAGCTGAAACTTTGTCAGTAGGCCATAACCTCGTGATGATGCACACATTAATGGGAACATATTAATTTAGGATATAACAGCTTGCTAGAAATATGCTTAAGCTATTGGCCAAACAGCATTGCAAGTAAAATAGTTTCTGTGTGATTATTTTGAGTCATGGTGGTTGGGAAACACTATGTGAATATATGTCATTGTGTTTGGTTTAATAAAGAAGCTGAGAGCTTCTGAACATCCTGCTCACCAGTACACCCAGGGTTGGAAAAACCACACTAGGCAAAGAACTTGCATCAAGATCAGGACTGAAGTACGTTAATGTGGGTGATTTAGCTCAAGAAGTCTGATCACCGGATTTCATGGAGTCTGGCAAGATGGCGTCTCCCAAGAGCATGCCAAAAGATGCACAGATGATAGCCCAAATCATGAAGGATATGGAGATTACAGAAAATGAGCCTAGAGTTATAAATCAGATGTTGGAGTTTGCCTTCCAATATGTGACCACAATTCTAGATGATGCTAAAATTTATTCCAGCCATGCTAAGAAAGCTACTGTTGATGCAGACGATGTGCAATTGGCAATCCAATGCTGGGCCGATCAGTCTTCCACTTCTCCCCTGAGAGATTTTTTATTAGATATTGCAAGACAAAGAAATCAAACCCCTTTGCCGTTGATCAAGCCATACTCAGGTCCTAGATTGCCACCTGATAAATATATTTTAACTGCTCCAAACTATAGGATTAAGTCTTTGCAAAAAAAGGCACCTACTCCTTCAGGAAGAATCACAATTCTGCGATTAAGTGTTGGCTCAGTTTCTAGCAGACCAAGTACTCCCACACTATGCACACTAACTCCACAGACCATGTCTGTCTCAACTAAAATGGGCACCCCAATGTCCCTCACAGGACAAAGGTTCACAGTGCAGATGCCTGCTTTCCAGTCCCCTGCTGTGAAAGCTTCAATCCCTGCAACATCAACAGTTCAGAATGTTCTGATTAATCTGTCACTAATTGGGTCCAAAAACATTCTGATTACCACTAATATGGTATCACAGTATACAGCCAATGAGTCAGCAAAGGCACTGAAAAGAAAACAGGACGATGATGATGATGACGATGACAATGATGACTATGATAATTTGTAATCTAGTCTTGATGCATGTAACATGTATACTTTGTCTTGAATCCATTGTACTGAAATTAAGCAAGCATGTTAGATGTTCTAAAGCTGTATTTTAGAAAGGGGTATTTAATAAGTATGCTTTCCATGCTTTTCAATTGAAATGTTGAGTTTTAATGGAGCTAGTAATGGTCAACCTTTAGGCATAAAAAATAAAATTGTCAATTATCAATTTGAAAAAAAAATAAAGAAGCTGACTGGTCAATAGCTGAACAGAAAATGGTTAGGCAACACAAACAGACACAGCGAATGCTGGGAGGAAGAAGAACAGAGTCTGGAATTACCAGCCTGAGAAAGAGGGAGCAGGAGATATGCATGCCATGTTACTAACGGTGCCACCACATGACAGAGTAGAAATCAGGAATATAGGTTAACTTAAAAAGTAAGAGCTGGTTAGGAAACAGCCTGAGCTATTGGCTGAGCACTTGCAATTAATATAAGTTTCAATGCGTTTCTTTGAGAGCAACTGTGGGACAGGAAAACTCTACTTACAAAAGCGAGATTTAAAGACACATAAAAAGTTAAAGAACTCTGTAAATATCTGAAATAAATTTAAGAAAAGGAACTGTAATTTTAAAAATCAGAGAAAAAACAAGTTGTACTTTGGCAGTGGTGGCATGAGGCAACAAGTGAATCTAGATGTGGGAGAAAAAGAAGGAACTATTGAGCTGAACAAAACCCACACAAGTAACTGTTTCAGGACATTGAAACTGAGCAGTCTGATAGAGCACAGAGAGATGTGGTTCATAAGATTAACAGTGTTCTTCATTCTTCTTGCTTGTAGAAGCTCATAGCAAGAAACAAACAACAAATCTAGGAGAAATTGATATATAATGAATTATTATACATAACATTAAATTTCTGAACAGAACAATTTTATGTGTATTTCAGACTTTTTATTTATTTATTTATTTATTTATTTATTTATTTATTTTGGTTTTTCGAGACAGGGTTTCTCTGTGGCTTTGGAGCCTGTCCTGGAACTAGCTCTGTAGACCAGGCTGGTCTCGAACTCACAGAGATCCGCCTGCCTCTGCCTCCCGAGTGCTGGGATTAAAGGCGTGCGCCACCAACGCCCGGCTTATTTATTTATTTTTAATTATTTTTTTTAGATTATAATATAATTGCATCCTTTCCCAAACTCAAAACCCACCCATGTGGCCCTCCTAGGTTTCTATCAAATTCATGACTTCATTTCTCACTAATTGTCACTACATGAATATATGGCATGTAAGTATATATATGCATACGTATATGTCAATTCCCATATCTCTTAATACAGAAATATGACTTGCCCAGTCTGCGTAATGCTACCTATATGTATATTTTCAGAGAATTTGGTACTGAATAACCAATTGATGTATTCTTCCCTGATGATGACTATTTCTCCCATTCTCAACTTTTCTTAATTGCCATTATTGCTTCTTAACCTGTCAAAATGCCAGATTATGAAGCCCAGTCCAAGGGATATATCTAAGTGTTCGAGATTATTCAAGAAGAGGGGTCAGAAAGACTGTAAGAGTCAGAGGTCAGGACATCAGCTATAAGACTTTGTCTCCTTCAAATGTCAGAGACAACTCTGATAAGGTCTTGCCAATGTGGCTGCCTACACAAGAACTGAACAAGGGCCACAGCCATTAAAAACACTAAAGTGGATCTGGGAAGTACATGAGGATGAGGCTTCAACCCTACACAAAGAATTGGAGAGCTATTACTAACATTTGAAGAACAATACAAGAATCAGGAAGAAACAACAGTTCTGCTCCTGTTCCAACATCCTGGCAAATCCCTTCTTTCACTGTGACTAGCATTTAGTCCCATACCAATTACATTTGAAGAACACTATTTATTCAAACAAGTGAATGTTTATGTTTTAAATTTCCACCATCTCTGGGGCTAACTAAAGGATTCCAGATAATTTACTTTGATGTGTTTAAAATGCAAACCGCCATGCACATTAATGTTGCTAATGAAATGTGGGAATCATCTGTTTATGTATCTAAAACTCCACAGATCCTAAATCTCCTATTTAAAACTACCTCCTACCCACATGGAGGTTATGTCTCCAGACACGAATCAATTACTCTGCAACTCCCACGATTACACAAAACCTTGTTTACCTGAATGTTTGGCTGTCCCAGAATGATTCTGATAAATAGCCTTTGGAGTCAGAGCTGTGTGCCAGTCTGCGTTCTTTGTCAGTACAATCTGCAGCACACCTGTCTCTCTGTTGCTACATGACTGTGAGCTGCCGTCAGTGTTCACTGTAAATCATTGTCTTTCAAAGATCTGATTATGCAGCTCTTGTTTCATTTGTGAGTCTGTTCATTCACGTCTATGGGTAAAGTTTTATGTGGAATTAAATACCATATGGTTGAAACTAAGATCAGCATTTAGAAATAATAAAAAAAATCAATTTGATCAACTATTTGATAACATGATTTGTTTTTATTCTTCTCTCAGCCATAAAAGAGAGATGTTTATTTGTGGTGATGACGCTGTTGTCTTAACTACTAGGAGACAGTTTGATTGGTTACAAAGTCAGCTAAGTATGTTACCATTAGGGAAACTTTGAACAAGCTCACCTCATCAAAAAGTATACAGGGATTTTAATTAGTGGAAGAACAAGATCTGAGTAACTCATACGCACAGTCTTACTTCAAAGAGATACCACAGTCAATACGATGCTCGAAGGATATTGCTCTTTCATTATTTACAGGACTGGAGATTTAAAACAAGGGAATCGTAATGGTCAGGGGAGATTTAACCAGGTCCTTCTTCAGGAGGTAGAAACAGATTATAACCCTGTGCAGACTTTCCTGCAAGTGTTATTTTTTTAGTAGACCTCTTGTATATTTCTGTAACAAAGGAAGTCTTTCCTCTTTACTCATGAAAGACAATAAAACAGATTTTTCTAAGAATGATGAAATAGATATCTGATTCCCAAGTCTTGGGTTCTTTTTATCAATATAAATGCATTTAGATGTGTTAAAAAAAACAGTTTGTGATATAACAGCACTTCAAATCAAAAAATATAGATTTAATGAAAAAGATTATGAGTGATTCATGTATTCACCAATTCAGGAAACAAAATAAAAGTTTCATAAATTTCTGCACCAGATTTCCCATATATATTAAATATGTATTATGTGCATATATAATGTATTATTGATTGCATTAATGAATTTGTTTGTGGGATTATAGGAATCAAAACTAACAAGTCCATAGTTAGTAGTACAGCAAGCTTTCAGGAGGAGCAGAGTAGAAACTGTTAGCTAAGAGCTAATAGTGAGTGTGTTAGGAACACATTCTTCAGTACTGAACTTAAGGTCTTTCAATGGAATAGGTCTATTAAATTATGAAAGATAATTTTTACATAAACCATCTGATTATAGTTGGTGATTAAATGTACAGAATGTCTGCAGGACCACCTAACTCACCATGGGACTTAATAGCTCTTGCTTGGTCTAGCCAAGTCGACATATACAAATGACCATCACCATTAGTTATACGTAAAAGGAAGGAAAACAAGCAAAAAGCCAAAGCAGTTTTCATCTTTCTTATGCTTTGGGAAATGCTAGAGTACACTTAGTTTTTGTTTTGTGTTTATGTTTGTATGGTGTGTGAGTGTGTAAGTGTGCATGTAGGTGCATATATGAGTTAGACGAGAAGTCAACTTTAGGCATCATTCCTCGGGAGCCCTCTACCTTGTTTTTTTTGAGACAGCATGTCTAATGCGAATGAGGGGGTGTCATTAATTAGACTAGGCTGGCTAGCCAGCATGCCACAGGGATTTGCCTCTCTGCATTCCCATGTTATCACGCTTGGCTTTTTACGTGGATGCTAGAGACAAACTCTGGTCCTCATGTGGCAAAGCAGCGCTTTGCTGACTTGACCAACCCTACCCCCAGCCCATTCCCGATAACAGAAGAAATTCACAAATTTGAATCCTTTAATTGAAACACAAGGAAATATGTTGTAAAAATTTCCGTTTGCCTGTTCATAGCATGGAATCAGCTGAGGTTTGAGAAAAAGGCACTAACAAGGCATTGAGATTGCCCGGTCCTCCTCCCCCATATGCCATTAACTCGCTGTTGGATCTTGAGCATCCACTTAACCTCTCTGACCCTCAATTTATCTGTTAAAACAAAGACAGTTTAACAAGCAAGATTCTCCAATAGCCATCACAAATTCGTTCGGTGACCAGGTGGAAAATATAAACAAGTGATGTGGGACTGAGAATATGTAAATAGACAGTTGCAAAGCCAGTTTTCCAAACAAATCACACTGGAGAATAAAGTCTGTGGTTTGCCATTTCTGAGTGAGATGCTCTTTAATATTTTCCATAAGATATTTATAAAATATGTCTTTATTTATTACCCACAACAAATGTATTTCTTTCAATATATTAGTAAGGTGGACAGGGGATGTTTGTGTGATTTCTTTTCCAGCAAAGAACTATATTTTATGTAATTTAAAAGTGAAATGCAGTGAAAGAAAAACCTAGGATGGCTTGAGAAATCTATGAAACCAAATTTTGTGAAGAATTTAAACCTGGTTGCCTGCGATTTTCGATAAACAGTGTGCACCATCATAAGCACGTGTATTCACAACCTAGTGTCTTGAAAGTGATACACGAACAAAGAAAGCATAGTAGTCTTTTCTTGATGCACAGTTAAAGTGGAATGGCCATTTTTGTGAGAAGGAGGTTCCTGTGGAGCAGTCTGCTGACCTGCCTGTGTGAGGAAAAGCCACTTAGAAACAAGAGACTCCTCACTTATCAGCCATGGATTGTTGAGAGTTCTCCAGCAGCAGTGAGCAGCTGCGCACCTCACCTATGATCTCTCCTGGAGTTAAATTTTGTGGTCTCTTCTCATACAATTCTTTTCACCAATCAAATTTGCATAATTTGGCATAATTTGAAATGATTGACGCAAGTTGCTCATTGATAGGGTAGTAGCTAGA